GGAGTAGAATGTTTTAGTACTGGCAGTTTGTCACCCACCTGAAAGCATGTGTTTTCAAAGCTTCCTTCTGCTGCAGTGAAATGAAGGCCAGGTTGAAGTACTTGCACACAAAAAACTAACAGACTAGAGATAACAGATCTTTGTTATAGAAATCCCAGAGGTGAAATTATTTTACTGTGTTTGGAAATGTGAACTTCCTACTAACTGCAAAAATCAAAGTATTCCTAAGACTGTAGTCCTTACTAAAATTGTAATTACTGCAGAGGGTTGGGTGTTAACCATCCTCCAACTGAGACAGACGTTTTCTGTAGCTTATGAAAAGAAAGCGAAGTGCCGGAGATATTGCTAAGCGTTGTCGCATGGTGGTATGCTGATGTAAAAGTATTTGGAAGTGGGACCAAGCTGATTGTTTCAGGTAAGCTTGGAACTTTTTCAATGCATCGCAATGGTTAGATCTGGATTGCGTGAAGTGTTCTGCTGTTTTAGCTCCCACCAGTTTTAATCCTACTAAATGCTTAAGGAGTATTTTCTGCTTAGGTAGCGTTTCACAATAGAGAAAAACCTAATTGCTTTGTGTTTATTTATGAAAAGTGGGAAACAGCAATTATTGCAACATAGAAGTATAACTAATGTCACTATAATTTTGTTTTTAAAGATGAATCAAAATACGTCAAAGATAACACTAAGGGAACTAAAAGATCCTTTTTTTTTTAAAGATGCATGTTCAACTTCTGTGAAATTTCTAAGCAGTTCTGAAAGAAAATAACAAAGTTTTAGGTTATTTAAATTATTTGAAGAGCAAAAAGAATTTGTTTAGGAGTACACCAGACAACTTAATGACAGGAGTTAACAGAGGTATGCCCAGAATTGTCCGAAGAAATTCAAGGTTGAAAGGCTGCTGTCTCTTCCTAGCTTTTGCAGAAACCTTGCAATATTTATTATTGTTATTACTGCTGCTACCATTAAGAAAGAAAGTCAAACTGAGAACGTTGAGCTTTCCTTCCAAAAACATTGGACGTACTTGATCAAAATTATATCGCTTCAGATTGAATTCTACTTAATATCTGATCAAACAGATCAAAGAGGTCTTCTGATGGTGCTTTTCACTCTCCACAAAGCATATTTTTAGATCAGTAACAGCAATTATCTTGAAATTGAATTTAAAGTACATTTTACTAAGGGCTCACTGGGAATAACAGCATTCGCTGAGGTTCAAATCAAGTTTTCTACATAAAATAGAGACAAATGAATTGACTCTCCCTAGTCACATGATTATTGTAAAAAAATAGTAATAAAATAAAAAGGTACACCAAAAAAATAGAACAAGCTGATCCTTATCTGGTCAAAATATTGCAAGCAGTTTCTGTAAGAAAATGTATCAGTGTGAGTATTACAAGGTATTTGGTACTGGCACAAAACTCATCGTATCTGGTAAGTGTTTTAAAAAACAATTTCGTAATTTTTGTAATGACAAAGAACGAAATTCGATGCCTGGTTAGGGTATGTGGGGAGACTTGCAGTGGGCCAGGAGTACAGTATTTTATTATCTGTGACGATATCAGAAGTTGCTGTCAAGCAAGACATGATGAAATGTCAGCTGGAAGCTTCTCTCTCTCTTTTCAGATTTGATAATCTGAAAGAAAAAAAATCAAATTAGGTGATTATACTTTAGCCTACGAAAATTAGGCAGGGTATCTTGCTGAGCTTTGAAAATATGAAAGAAGCATCTAAAATAACCATGAAGTTTTGCAGAGCAGTGGCACTAGGACAAGTTCTATCTACATGATGCTTTTTCAAATGATTCTGAAATAATTTTGGAAATGGGGTTAATCTTGCATCCCTGGTAGGTAGGTCTTATGCATACAGAAGAAGATAAAAATAGCTCTTAAATTAATACTAAGGGACCATAAATTTTTTAGCAGTCATCATCTTCATTTCTTTCAATGACAATCTCCAAAATAAGTGAGAATTCGTTATATAAGGATTACGGCTTTGAAGATAGACAGTTTTATGTTTCGGTTATCTTTTCTTTTGAACACAAAGTATGAAGTACCTGAAAGAATCTCCTGGTATTTTCTTGGGGGGATGCAATATGAAAGAATGTCCAATCATTTAAAGAAAGAAGTAAACTTTTTGACAGAAAATATATGTTTATGTGTATGTATTTTCTCACAATGCATGGAAATTCTGCCACTCATCCAAACCAATGCTATAAACCCTTTGCTTCTAGTGGCCAAAAAATGATGGTAGAGATTACCATAGGCATCTGGAGGGATGCAGTGGTGCAGGGAGGTAAAAGCCTAAATTTCTTTGTTGCCTTAAAAATCACCCTTTTACAGTATGTTCTAAAAAGTACAATTTAAATCTGCATTTATCTCTCACCAGACAAAAATAACCACCCAAGAGCACTGGCTATACATGTACTGCTGAAGTGTATATGTTTAACCAGAACAGTCTATTAACTTTGCTATTCACTTCTATAATAAATATTAAAAAGTCATTTTTGTATGGACAATTCCTGGCTGATTTGGATTCCTCTAATAATAAAAGCCTTCATCTTGAGAGGCAATTGATCCCTATTGATGGCAAAATGAGCTCAATGGTACAATACCAGTAAAAAAGCATATGATGTTCGAATATAAAAATAGTTTTTCCTTTCAATTATCTTAATTCATACATTTACATAAACTTAATATTTAAGTAACAACATTTTCAACTTTCCTGGTTCAGAGCATTTTGTGATTCCATATTCCTGTATTTATCCTATATCATTACCTGGCCAACACAAAAAATTTCTTCAGAAAGAATAGCCAAATCTGCAAAATTAATATGAGTTTTGAAATGGATTATTTAGATATAGCAGATCTTCATTGCTTATCTACTTTAAGCAGTGTCTTATCTACTCTAGAGTAGATGAAGTGTCTTATCTACTTTATAACAGAGACATAAGCCTGCAAGGATTTGACAGCTAGGTAGGTTCATCTTTAATAAGTTACAGACAAATTTTCCATTTAGTTATCTCTGCATAAGCATTATTAAAATCCTATTGTCAAATAAATAAATGAACAAAGTTATTCCAAGACATATTACTATTATTTGATAATGGTCAAGGACTTGTGGAGACAAATATACTTTCTGACAGTTGTACCACTTGAAGGCTGTCTATTCTATATTGTCATGTAGTTTCTTAAATGTTTTTTCAATACAACTTTCTAACATGATTCTCAAAAATAGCTTTTAAAAATCCTTTTGAAGAGATATTTCATGTCTTAAATAACTAGATTTAAGTTTATTTTTCCTAATAAAATACTTCAAAAATTGTTGGTGAGGTACTTTCAAAACTCCTTCATATAACATTTAATTCTTTATCTGTCTCTCTCTCTTTATGTTTCAGTTACGCAAAGGGCAATTTTTCAAAGATAACCAAATAGATGCCAAATATGTCTTTAAAATTTTCTGATTTATTAACATACTGGGAGACAAATGTATGAATGAAGCACAGTCACTGAGCAGTTTTAAATTTAAATTTAAAAAGTTTAAAATAAAAGGTTTAGACTGAGCATTCTTAGGACTCTAGACATCTGTATGTTCTCTAAACAAAACAAATTTACAAAATCTGGGCTGTGTCTTGTCTTCTGACTTTGAGTTTGATTTGCTGCATTTTGCTCATAAAAACCTCTATTTGTTTTAGTTTTCTTTCAGCTGATGCATTTAAAGACAAAGTAAAAGGTCTTATTTTGTATTCTCATAGCCCTGTAACTGTTTCGGAGTGGAATCAAAAACCTGCCCTGTGCATTCATTCACACAGTATTTAGTATATAGTGAATTTGAATGCCAAGTCAGAGTCCGTCGAGCTCAAACAAGAAGTTTTTTTTATGTTCAAGAGAAGAAACAGCTAAAGTTCACTTGTCCTATTATTGAAAACTCCTTTTGTATATGGGATATTTCTATTCCCATCCAAAACACCAGATAACAAATTAGAGAATTAAAATGTTGTTAACAACACATTTAGATAGCCATTCCTAAGAAATTAGTTTGTGCCGATGAGTATCTGACCTGAAAAAAATTGAACACACATCTAGGTGAAATATTTATATTTAATTATATCTTTTATTAAAACACATAAATACTTATTTATGTACATTATTGATCTTTAAACTCTCTATTTTACTCTTTTCTTTTTTCCTCCAAAACCAAATCCAGACAAGGGATATACCAAACCGAAAAACTATGAAGTCCTGAGTAGCGAGAATGAAAATAAGCTGACATACATTTGCCTTGTTGAGAAATTCTACCCAGAAGTTATTCGAGTGACGTGGACTGAGGGAGATAAGGAAGTAACAGACAATGTGGAAAAAGGAGAAATCTGGAAATCTGCAGATGACGGCCAATACTCTATTGGAACCTGGTTAACGGTATCAAAGGAGAATAAAAACAAGAAATATTCTTGCAAATATGAGCATGAAAGTGGAACAGATTCGTTTTCCGACACTTCCAAAGAAGGTATATACTACCATTTTAAAACGGGCATTCTCTATACTATTTAAAAAGGTGTTCTACATATCATAGAACTCATTTTTGCTTTGCAATAAAATTACAGAAATAAGCCAGTGCGTTAATGCTGCTGAAAGAGGCTGTGCTCCTTGGCACAACCATAGCCAAAACACACATCAGGAGAAGGTACAGCCAAGCAGCAGCCTCATGGGCAAAACCCCAAGCATGGCAAAGGCAGAACTCTGAATTAGGGCAACAAATACCCATTTACCTGTATACAAAATCTTTTTTTCCTTTAATTTCTCTCCACTAATGCATCCTACTCATAAACATTTTCTATGAAATGTTCTTAAAAGTCTATTTTTCTTATTTTTCCTTTTCATGAAAGAGAAATGTTAAGTATTTAATAATATCTTCCCATTTCGCTGTTTCTGTACTGGCTCTTCTTTTCTATTTCACTACTGTTAAAGAAAAGCATAATTTGGATTTATAAATTCTCTTTCCATTAGATCTTACAACTACTATGGAGAATCAGGACTGCAATGCAGGAAACAGTACCATTTTTTCTCGAGGTAATTAAAATGCGTTTAAACACAACACATGTCAGATAAGTACTAAATATTTTTACACATGCTCAGAACACAAGGAAAATAATCCTTTTAAATGGTTTCCAAGAAACACTTTAAGTTGATGGTGTCTGCAACTTAAAAATGCTTAAACACTACTCTGAATTAACATCTGGTATGAATTATAAAAAGCGGTTCTCCTTCCTTGGCCTTTATTAGCACACTCCAGTTCTTTGGGGGCTTACTTTCCTATGTGGCCTACATTAAATTATGTTATTTTACATAACTTGAGTTGTCAAATGCTCAAAGCTTCAGCTGGTATCAGACCAGCTACTGCCCAACACTTCAGAAAATAAGAAGCTTTCTTTTAATTTGAGTAGGGACTGAGTAAAAAATCTGAGGCACAAGTGTTCACAAACAGCAAAAGGATGGAAGCGAACACAAAATTACACATAATCCGTACTGAAAACACTAGCATTACATTCTTGCCTTAGCACGGAATAACACTAGCTGCATATCAACAGTCTAGTTCTTAAAAATACGTTTGACATTGGACTTATGAGCGATGCAAACCTCGAGGTCAGGCCAATGTTGCATTTGTTGGTACACTGTTTGCTGAAAGTGATGTAGCTGCAGCAATGCAGGTGCTGCATCGTCTTGGTTCTGTCTGTTTTTCAGAAGGATGAGGTTAATTGATGGTTAAACAACACTTTTCTGTGTTTGTTCCAGATCAATTAATACACAGGACGGCGTATTTAGTGTACATAGTCCTTCTTCTGAAAAGCTTCATGTATTACGTGATCGTACTCTTCTTCATATACAGAATGAGGACTCCAGCTAAGCAACATGGAAAGGGAACGTAAGAGAATGATTTTGCAAGTCTTTGCTAAAACAGCATTTTTGTTTGTAAGCTTGTTAAGTTTGTTTTGCTATGAACCCCCTTGCTCCTAGTGCTGCATATAACAACAAAACAAAAACAAAACAAAACAAAACAGGTTTTCTTGCATTACTGCACACAGCCTGTTCCGCTTTACGGCTAGGAGTTTTATATCAAACTCTGCTTCTTCTAATTTTTCTGAGTATTGAAATGGGGGAGGGGCAATAGAAATAAGGTTTTGTTTCTTATATTTTAAGGGGAATTTAGAATTAAAGACTAAGGAAGATTCTCATGTTAAAAACAGTTGTGCATGCAGAAAAAAATAGAGGTTCACTGTTTAAGGCTTAATTAAGAACATGCAGAGTGAATGGAAAGTGGTGAATGTTCTTCTGACTTATAGTATTTGTTTTATATATTGCTTTTGAAAATTTCAATTAAACACAATATTACAAAATGATATTATTGTTTCTTTAAAAGCGAGTTTAATCAGCATAAAAGCAATTCCAAGGCACACACCTTCACAAATCACTTGGCCACAGACAGCACTGTTAACAAATTGTAAACCTGCACATTGTGTTTTTAAAGAAACAAAACAGTTGCAAAGTTTACAAACATGATCTTGTTTGGAGAAGCCTTCTGAAGTTGAATAAAACCTTAACTTTCAAGATCTGTTGAAACAAGTATTTCCATAAAGAGAAAGAATTTTCAGATTTTGGGCTCTACACTCCGCATGTCCCAGCTCTGCAAATTTGTTCTTTTCAAAATTCAGGAGAAAATTCAGAAGTGGAAGCCTTTGCGTGAAGCATTTGTTCAGTTTGGGACAACATATTAACAGTGGTTTGCAGATGAGAGACTGGAGTATTTACAGTAAAAGTTCACTCACTGCATCTGTGAGGAGGTAGAGAGAAATAAAAGTTTTCTAACAGACTGCGTTTGTGAGACACATGTTAGTTCTATAGCAGTTCCACCTAAGAGGAACTAAGATGGCTAGAAAACTTGATTCATTTTCAACTGCTCACACAGATTTCCTGGTAAACCAAAGATCCATCAAAAAAGGTCAGTTTTCTGCTTTTCAATCTATTAAATGGGGAGCCCCCCCACACACACTTTTTTTTTTTTAAACTAAGCTGGGGGAAAATGTTTTCTAGAGCTCACACAATTACATGGGAAACAAAATGGGGTCTGTTCCAAAAATCGCAGAGGAATAAGTATTCTACAAATAGTGAGTTGAAGCCAATGCATCTACTTACTACTAGTTTTGCATGTGCAATGGCTCAGAGGCTCCCGTATAAATAATCTTATCTATACAGACGTCCACTGATTGCACCAAGCTTTTTATTTTATTTATTTAGCCTGAATAGAGGACAAGTTGATGTTTTAAAGTTTCAGAGTGTCAGGGGAGCTGTTTATTTAGAGAAAGGCTTGATTATTTAGTGGAAAAAACCCTGTAAACTGAACCAGTCAGTACTGGTTCAGAGGAGGTGGGCTGTGATCTGCACGGGCGATAAGTGAGGACAGTTAGACCACAGCCCGTCCTGTCTGCTACCACAGTGTGCTTCTAAAGCGTGCTTGCTAATGAAAATACGGAATGATAAAAACCGCATGCCTAAAATATGTGTAATAGATACAGTGAAACTTATTCTTTGCTAGGCAGGTTGATCTAATTGCATGTTTGTGGTGTCGTAACAGGTATAGGCTACATCTACTGAACATAGGTCCTCAAGAAGTTCTGCACGACTCAACGTTTCTAGGCATCATGAATGCATGCCAGAGTTATATGTTATCTAATAAGTGCACATTTCTGTGATCAAGAGTTGGCTAACATTTGAAAGACATCTTCTCAAAAAAAAAATCTTCCACAAATTGAGTTTTGTCATTTTCGCTATTATCCGCGATTTCAGACTTCTACAAGTATGAGCATTACAGCTGCTCTACTTTTATCACAGAATTGCAAGTATGAATGCAAATATTAGGAATTTAGTTACAGAATCTGGTGCTGCTAATGAAAATGAGATGGCAGAATGGGGTGAACTATTGCTCTGTGTGTTGAGGTGGACAGGAATAACTGGCAAAAAATCATTTCTTTGCCAAAAGGACTTGAAATATATTCCTTATCTTAAGGTCCTTCTGTGTCCTATATGGTGCAACAACATACATAAAAACTTAGGAATGCTGATTTCTTTTTTTTAAACTATCAAAATACTCTAAAAAGAAGGTATGGAAAGCTGCTATCCCTGGATTCCTGGACCACATCCCCAGGAGACAGATGTGTGTAACCGAGTTAGGGAAGGCTGACACCTGTTGACTTCCATTGAAAACATATTAGTCTTCAAGAAATTCTGAAACAGTTGAGGCACTGGCACATAGCGTAAAAACTGCTGAAGAATTAAAAAACAAAATCTCAGAGATACTGTTAAGATATTAGAGCAAGCAGAGTTCCCTCAAAAACATAGGCTTTGATTCACTGTTTTTGATCTACTTAGTGCAATAGGTGATCAACATTTGTTCCACTGTATTTGACAGA